GGGGTCCGCGTGGAGGTGGAAGACGAGGTCATCCGCGTGGTGTTGCGGTTGGAGAAGCAGATGTCCGGCACACAGAAAGGCGTGGTGTACGTGCGATCGCGCGAGAGTTGCAAGGCGTTGGCGGTTAAGCTCGGGTGTGATTATTATCACAGTGGCATCGCGGACGAGAGTGAACGTCAGGCGACACTACAGCGATGGGCAACGGGCGCGGGAGAGAACCGATGGATCGTGGCGACAACGGGTTTAGGCACGGGAGTGGACATTCCCGGGATCGTGGCGGTGGTGCACATGGAGCAGCCGTACGGGTTGGTGGATTTCGTGCAGCAGACAGGTCGGGGTGGGCGGCAGGCGGGTGAGGTGGTGGAATCCGTGGTGGTGATCGATCAGCGGAAGGCGTGGATCGGTGAACATCGTAGTGATGTGGAACATTTGAATCATCAGGCGATGGAATGGTTTGTGGAGAGCGCGGGTTGTCGACGCGTAGTGCTGGGGATGTTCATGGACGTCGGGCTGAGAGAGGCGGGCATGGACTGTGAACAGCTACAGGCCGAGTTGTGTGACCGATGTCGAGTTCAGCATGCGAGGCAGGAGGAGGAGGCGACGAGGGACGCTGCCGAGGAAGACAATAACCGAGTAGAAGGGGTGGAAGATGAAGAGACCGATCACGAGGACGAAGAGGGCACCGCTGAAGAGGAAGATGGAGAGGAGGACGAGGATGAGAGTGGGCGCGAGGGGGAGGGGGAGAGTGACTCAACGTTAAGCGATGAACCGCCGATGTCACATTCAAATCGATTTCGTGAGTACATTCAAGAGAAGCACACACGCTTAAAGGAGTGGAGGCGGTGGTTGATGGAGGTTGGTAGCAATCATTGTCCCGTATGTTATATGCAGTGGGTACGAGATGGACGGACGGCCGCATGGTATGTCAAGATCATACATAACATTCGAGCATGTCCGCGCGTTGACTTCGAGAAATTGCGAGTGTGGCGAAAGGGGTTGGATTTCGGCGAGTACGATTGCTGCTGGGAATGTGCGTTGCCGCAGAGCATGTGTCGCGGCATACAGGACCGGGAGAACGGGTCGCAAGGGTGGAGTCAGCTCGGGTGTGAGTGGGGAGATCAGGTGGTGCCGTTGTTATATTGGATTCAGGGGGACGCGACATGGCGAGACAAGGCTCGTTCCGTGTTTGGCTTCACTGGCATGCACGCGGATGACAATGACTGGCATAAGCAGCAACAGTATCGGCGGTGGTTAGGGCGAGCAAGGCGTATGTACGATGAGGACATGACGAATGCGATTGCGGTATGGGATATGGTGATTCGCGAGGTACAGCGGTAGAGTTGATGGCGTTGATGACGGGTTAAGGGTAGGAAATGGTATAATAGAGGAAGGAGGATTCATAGAACGTTCGGAGATTTAGAGGTATAGAATAATCAAGATAAAGATAAATAGATTCGGTATCATGATGAATAGAGATAGATTTATTTATTATGATTGGGGATAGAAAGAAGGCAAGATGATGATTTTCGGATATTTAGTTTATATTATGCCGTCGGCGCCGCATCGCGGATGGCGTCGTGGAGTGAATGGTAATGGTGAAGGGGATCTTCAGCGGGGTTTAAAAGGGAATGGAAGGGGGATTGATTCGGTATCAACATGAAGACGTGGCAGTAAGTATGGCGGTGACGGCGATTGTTTTCATGGGAGATGCACAAGAGAGGTAGATAGATGAGTTAGATCGACGTATTTCATAGAGTGGGCGGGTAGGGGATCGGGGAAGCGGGGGGTTTTGGTGCGATATTTCAGTTAAGTAGTCGAGAGGGTGGCGGATTCGAGACGAGTCGATTATGATAGGAGTGTTGGTATGTATGGCAGCATTTACAGCAATTTTAGGAGGGTGTAGAGCGAATGCAGCAAATGGATGAGGGTCGTTTACCGTACATATGCGGATAGAGGTAGATGGTGAAGATCGGTGGAGAAGGAAGAGGGCGGGAATGGGTTCGACGGAGGATGACGAGGTCGATGAATTTTCGAGGGAGATACGATGGGTGGGGAGCGGTATAGCATCGATATAAAGGTCGATGTCCCGTGATGATTAATTTTTATGAGCGTTCGTATCGACATGAAAAATCGAAGAAGTTAACGGGTCGACAACGCATTAAGTCGAGGGTGAGGAGGAAATGACGAGAGAGGTGGTCGAGGAATTCGAATATTTTATTCGTGTAGAGAGGATTATCCGCGGGCCGAAGTTTAATTCGACCGGAGCGAAAAAAGGGAATATTTTATGCAATTTTCACAACGCGACACGACATCACCGTGATAATTGGAGGACGATCACAGGTAGAATGAAAGATGGAGAATTTCGTGATGGTTATTTCAAGATGATTTATCGAGGATTAGAGGGGTAGAGCGATCATTCAAGTTGGGTGGTTTAAAGGCGAGTTTTGGGTCAAGAAGTTGAGGAGGACGTCGACATTTTTAGGGTTACATTGTACAAATTTCATTCCGAATGTTTCGATTTACCGGGTCAAGGCGCGAGGTGCGGGACAATTTTGGCATCATCGAGGGTTGAAATGCGAGAGGCGATGTGGGAGATGGTTTTCGTGGGGGGACATTGCGAGGGAAGATTTCGGGTTGGCATATCAGAGATCATAGAAGGTAGAAGAGGTACGAGAGGAAGAAGTCGGAGACAAACGGGACAGGGTTTAAGAGTGAGGACCGAGTGAAATAATCAGAGAGAGAGTTAGGGTTAGGGTTCCGGGTGGGTTAGGGTTAGGGGGTTAGGGTGACGTAGATTTAAAGGATTAGTGAGAGCAGTAGATCAGGGATAAGAGTTAGGGTTTCGGGTGTATAGGATCAGAAGGAGAGGGTAATATCGTTCGAGGATAAAAGAGAGAGGATAGGGAAGTAGTGAAGCGATTCGATATTGGTTTCGCGACGCGGTAGGGAGTATAGTGGTAACGACGATGATTCTAATCGAAGAGGGTTAGGAGACGTACCGTCATGAATGGGATAAGGGTATGTAATAAAGTAGAGGGTGGGAGGTGGAGGAATGGGGAGATTTAGGAGGGAGATTTAAGTTTAGCGGTAAAGGGTAGGGGATTAGAGATGAGTCGATTTATTACGGGAGGGATCGTATATATAGCAGCATTTCCGGCAATTTACGAAGGGTTTCGAGCGAGTGTAGTTAATCGATGAGGGCAGTTTACGGTATATATTAGTATCGGTGTGTAGTCGAGAGTGGTTGAGACAGGAAGGGGGAAGAATCGCCGGAGAAGGAGGATAAAGAGGTCAAGGAGTATTTTGCGGTTATATGGCGGGG